TATTTATCATTCATTGCTCACATCATAATTCATACACAGCCTTTCCTCATTCTTTCTTATCCATTGGCCAGTTTTTGCACACACATGTGTCGCCTGGGTCAGGTACACCTTTGTACCCAAAATAACCCTGTTTTGAACCCTTATAGATATTTTGCAGCAGACTTGCCTACTGTAATGTGTCATTTGATGTCTTGACTTCTGCTTCCATGGGCATTGAGTATTTGTCCAAGTAAAATTAAATATTTGACAACTCTGCAGCTTCTCTGTTGATTGTGATGATCATGATGATGGCTATTTATCCAGTTGTGAAGATTTTTTTTCTCTTATCTTGAGATAGAATTCATAGTGAAGGCTGTAGCTTTTGTTTTTCCTCAATAAGTGCACTTTCAGCAATAAAAATTTCCCCTGGTTGTACAAAAATTTATGCCATATGCATATGACATACAGATACCTAGTTTTGGTAAATATTACCAAGTCTCTTTACAAAGATTTTGTCTGTTTAATTTCTTCACTCAACAGAATGGAAACAAGGACCTTCCTCTGGAGCCAATGGAGAAAGTCTTCCCCTCGGGCAGTACTTTGAATTTTAACTTTCATTCCCCCAAAATATGAATAAGTGAATTTGTTTGTCGAAACCATATATGTGTGGTATTTCTGTTGCAGGAGCACAGACAACCACGACATTTATCGAGACATAAAGAGAACTACTGGTTTCCTGGGACTGGGGTTAGGAAAGGAGAGGGACTGCAAAGGCACACAAGGGATCTTTGGATGACAGAAATGTTCTAAAGTTGGTTTTGAGCAATGGTTACAAAGCCCTGCATATTCACTAACACACTTCGAATTTTGTAGTTAAGTTACTGTTTTTACGGTATGTAACTTCGGCTTAGTAAATCTGTGTTTAAAGAAGAATCAGCCAGGAGTTGGATAATCATTACAGTGTCAAGTAAAGGAATTAAACAGATAAAAAACCGTTGTGGAGGGATTTGGTGATATTTACCAAGACTATGTGTCTACAGGCATTTGTAGCTTAATACCCATGATGCAGTCTGAAAGAGGATGTGTTTTGGACTTTGTGCAAAGAACATATTAAAATCATACAGGAACCAACTTCTGGCCATCCTCATCCTTGCTACTTGTTGCTGGAGCTGGTGGCAGAGGCAGAGTCTGGAGGCTCAGGTGCTGGTAGCGGTTATGAATATGAAGGTGACAGTGGGATCAGAGTGAGAGGAAGCAGGTGAGGAGGGATCAGAACATGCCTAACCCCACCCACTATTTCTTCTGCCTAAGTAGCAAGATTAGCTGTAGCCTGGAAGCCCATCCACCTCCCAGAAGCATTTATGGTCAGATACTGTCAGACTGGACATTAATCAATACATCACTTAGTTCCTAAAATTATCAGAGGATTATATAGTTCTAACTACTAAACAAAAGGTAAACAGCTTCAATGATTCTGACCCATATTAACCCTATAAGAAAGAATAGAACTGCCTCATAAGTTTCTAAGACTATAATCTTTAAGGAACTAGAATGCTACATCTTTCTTCTCTGGAGTGCCCTGTGGGTTCAAACCACTGGTTCTTTTTGGGTTTGGTTGGTTGTGGTTTTTTTGGTTAGCAGTGTAACTCTTAACCGTGGCACCAACAGAGTTCCTTCACATATACTCATACAAAGGTTCAAAAACAGATGAACTGGGATCTTCCTAGAAATGTGAAAGACATTAAGTATCCCAAATATCTATTAAGAGGGTCAAGCTCTTGTTATTTGCCATTGAGTTGGAACCACCCTAAAGCTGATGCTCCGGTGGGTTTTCAGAGGCAGTAAATCCTATGAGGAGATTGTCCTCCTGCTCCCATGAAGCAGCTGGTGAGTTTAAGCACGCCTTCAGCATTGAAGCACAGCTTCTTACTGCTAGGCCACTTGAACTCCCTAGGGTGATTGTAATAGTTACATAAATTATGATATAGCAGTAAAATTAAATACTAGGCAGATTTTTTTAGAAGGGTAAGTTGATCTTTGTCTTCTTGATTTTTATTTTCTTTATCTCATGTACTGTTAAGTTGGAGTCAACTCATAGCTGACCCTCAAGCTGATTTTCAGAGGCATAAATCACACAGGAGGTGATTGCCTCCCTTTCCCTATGGAGCAACTAGTGGATTTGAACCCTGTGACTTTGGGATGGTAATGCCACTCCTTACCACCAGGCCACCACATATTAAATGATAAACAAAAGTAAAATTATGTAACCTATTATATGACCAGGTATTAAGGAAGTATGCAATGCAGGATGTTGTTGTTGTTACATGCCATCAAGTCGCCTGAGACTCATAGCAGCCCTATGAAGTCTGTATCATTGACTCCAACACACTTAGCCCCATTGCCCTCATCTCTGTATCAGTCCATCTCATCCAGGGTCCTCCTCTCCCACGCTGTCACTCCACCCCTCTGAGCATGATGTCCTTCTAACAAGGATTGGTCCCTCCTGGCCATATGCCTAAAGTGTGTGAGATGGAGTTTCAAAATCCTAGCCACTAAAAAGAAACTTGGTTTCACCTTCTCCAAGATAATGTAGAATAAGAAATTTAAATTTAAAGGGACATTATTAAGGATTCCATGTGATCACATATATGAAAAGTTCTTATCTGTATAAAATATATGTGTTTGTACAAGCACAAACAATGCCTGGAAGTAAATACAGACACATTTCAGAGATATTGTGAGTTTGGTTCCAGATCACCAAAAGAAAGTATATATCACAAGTCACATAAGTTTTTGGTTTATCATTACATAAGAAAGTTATGTTTACACTATTGTAGTCTATTAAATATGCAATATAATTATGAAAAAGTTTGAAATAATTTAAGTATTCACCAAATTGTGTCAGAGAAACAAAGCAAGCACATGTTATTGGAAGAATGGCACCAATACATTTGCCACAAGCTTTCAAATGATAAAAAATATATTATCTGGGATTTGCAATAAGGCAAAGCAGAAGAAAATGAGAGACACCTGTAAACAAATATTGTGTCTAAAGAATAGGACTCAAAGAGAAAATACAGAAAAAAAGAATGTTTATAACAGCAAAACTGACAATAGCAAGAAAATGGAAACAGCCTAAATGTCCATCAACAAACAAATGGATTGAGAAATTGTGTTACAATTATATGATGGAATACTACGCAGCACTCAGGAGCAACAATTTTGAAAAACACTGTATAATGTGAGAGAGGCTAGAGACCATTATGTTACATGAACTTTCTCAGTCTCATAAGGACAAATAATGCATAAGACCATTACTGTAAAAATAGAAGAATAACTAGTAAGATGTGGATAAAAGTCCATAGTAACAAGGGGAGGAATCAGGCGGGCTGGCAGTGAAGGAGGGAAATGACAGGGTCACAAAGTTTGGCACAGGGAACAGGTGAAGAAATTAGGAAAGATCCAGGTGGCACCTAAAAAGATGAGGTGATAGTGGGCATCTATCAATGGTGATTGGTTTTGTAAAACACAGTGTACTAAGTATGGGAATGATCGTATGAAACAATATGAATGAAGAAAAGTGTGCAACACTATATGAATGAATCATTTCAAAGTATGCTGATTTTGTATGGAAATCAATACACATTTTAAAAATATTTTTTCAAAAAGACAATAGACATTTACTTTGAATATATATATTTTCACTATCTCAATTTTTCACAAGTAATATTACTATAAAAATGAAAATAATTAACAAAAAGTAGAGTAGAATTGTCTAATAAGCCTGAGTTTCTAAGGCAATAATATTTGCTGAAGCAGACTGTTCATCTTTCTCCTGTAGAGTACCTGGGAGTTCCAAATGACCAACATTTGGGTTAACAGCTAAGTGAATACCTAAGTGTGGCACACCAGGGTGCCTAATATGACAAAAGAGGAACGAACCCCTGATGGATTAGAGGTAAGTATTTGTGCTGCTAACACACAGGCACACAGTTTCAAATCCACCAGCTGCTTTGCTAGAGAAAAATGGACAATCTCGTCCGGTGTGATTTACAGCCTCTGAATACCCTCTGAAGGGTCAGCTACAGGCTGGTTCTAGCTCGACATTACATAACAACACACGATTGTTAATTTTTTATTTTGTGAAAGGGTATCAGTGGTCTTTATGATTGTTGCAGATGGAGAAAGACTAGTTTCTAAAAGTTCCTGCATACAGTATATTACATTACATGGAATGTATAAAGGGCCCATTATCAGACTGTCTAATAATAACAGTCTGATAATTGCCCTTTGAGAAACCATTGGCAGTTTCCCACATATTATATATGATGATTTGTTCAGTATTATACTACTTTTGTCTGATGGGAAAATATAAGAATAATGTCTTCACTACACTCTAAATGCATAATAGCAAGGTAGCAATAATAGGAAAAGCACCCAGGACAGAGCAGACACTCAATACTTAATAGGTGCTAATTTTACTAAAGGAGATTGCCACTATGGCTCTTCTAGTAGTAATAGCAACTACTATGTGTTGAGAGCTCTGGTGGCATAAAGACAAGGAGCTGTGTTGCTGTCCCAAAAGCATGTGGTTCAAATCCGCTAGAGGCTTTGTGGGGGTGGGGAGGAATGGACAATCTCTGACTGTGACATTAAAGTGCCACTGAGAATCTGCTAGAAGGTCAGTGTTCTGACTTGACAGTACACAACGACAACTATGCGCTGAGTGTATATTCCGTCCTGGGTATGTGACACATATGCACACATTATCACTAATCTTCACATTGACTGGAAAAAACAGGGATTAGTGTCCTCTTTTCCTTATATGAGGAAATGGATTTAGAAAATTAAACTCCTAGCAAAAAAAAAATGATGCACAAAAGCAAGTTCTTACAGAATTTAAGCTCCTTATTGTCCATTGGTATTTTCCCATCAAGTCTTACAGTAAAACAGAACACAGAGAGAGCTTCTTTCATGATTTGAATAGTCAAGTATTAGTACACCAAGGTTCAAATTCTTACCTGTTCTTCTACTTCTTGAAGACTATCAACATCTGTCCCATTTCTTTCCAATTTTCCACAGGTACCACTAAGAGATGAGCTGCTACCACTTATGCTGCCTTCTGGGGTGCCTGTGACACTGTCACCAGCGGGCCGTGAAGACACAAAGAGGCTGATGTTATCAAAATCATCATCACAAAACCTGTTTTCAGCATCCACCTTCTGCACTTTGGCTGGATTATAAGGTTTTAGGAAGGAGGAATACACATATCCTTTTACAACTGGAAAGGAAATAAAAAGAAAGAATCAAAGTTATGAGTTTAGTCTTGCTTAGCAAGGCATACAGAGATCCCCAGAAAAATCTCAACTTGAAGAAAAGTAGCTCTGTGCATGTCTTGCAATTAAACTTACTTCCTGTGTCAACAAGCCACCTGCTTGTACTCCCCAGCGGATCTTTCTGTTCCATCACAGCCACCAGCTCCCCTTCCAGAAGATTGATGTCATGTTCCTGGGTAGCATTGCACTTGCGCTTAGCTTGATATAATTCCTCTGCACTGTATGTGGATAGAAGCCTGGAGCGGTGACTATCAGTTTGACGTGGAGTTCCTGGCTGGGAGAAGTAAAGAGAAATTTCAGTGTAGATAGATGTATAGTAAACTCCACACTGAGGTAGCTGATACTGTGCTCTGGAGATTTTGTAAACATAGTAGTCATGCATTAATTTGCAGTTATTTCAAGTTTAAGATGCACAGATCAAGTTAGGATTCTCAAAGACTCAGCTGAGCTATTCAGTGAAAATTCTGTAGTTGGCACAAGGGGGCAGTGTTGCAGAGAAAAAAAGAACGTTCAACTGAGAATTAAAGGGCGTAGGTTCTGTTGAACAACTTTTCAAACTCTTTGCTATATAAAAGATAATTCCTTACATATGAATCACCTCACAAACATAGTTTAATTAAGTAAATTGCATATGTGCTTATTTTTTCCCCGAGAAGTATTATCAGTAAGTTAGGTAGATGTCTAGAAGTTTGTACTCCATCCTAGTTCTGCTATTAAGTGACTTTGAGAAAAATCACTTGTTTTCTGAAGTGAAGGATATTTTATCTAGAAAAATAAAACAATTCAATCGTGAGATCTTTCTATACAATTTTTTCGTTCATTTACCAGTTTATGTACTGAATACTTATGATCTTGAGCTCTATCATGTACAAAATGGATAAATATCCATAATGTTGTGGAGGATACAAACGAAAGAAAGACAAAATATTGTAATGATATGGAGGATACAAAGGGAATAAAGAGATAAAAACGTTATATAATTGGTAGACAAACTGAATAAGTTAGAATGGACTGACTGATAGGAAATAATCCACCCCTGTGACTTAGGCAAGGGGAGAAGTGATACATATTATTGTTATTAATGATGCAAAACTCACTGAGATGTGCACAGGTTTCTTCTTTTCAAAACTCAGTTTCCTCTCAATAAATGTGGCATTATTGTCCTTCACAAAATTCAGACTTTGAAACTCTTCTAGTACTTGATTCTGAATCTCAGAGATTCTGGAGGCCAACAGTGGTTTCTATAAATAGAAATGATACAATATTGTTCACAGATAATTACTTAATACTGATTATGGTAGAATTGTGATGAGCAGTTAAAGTATAATAGATCTCCACAGTGGAAAATGAGAGTAACTTTAGAGCTTCTAGATAGATGATCTAATTTGTTCTTTCTGGTAGCCCTACTTAAAAATAACAGAAATTGCTCAAGCTAATAACACTATATCGTGGCATGGAGGAGGAACAGTGGAAATGTATCCACATTTACAACATTCCTCTTACCAAAACCATTTATGAAAAATAGGTACTGCATTGGAACATGTATCTCTGGATTGGAAACGATGATATTGTTAATATCCTTAATAGCCTTAAGCTTAAAAGATTATAATGTTCAAAATTATTTGTTATACATTTGCTTAATTTTTTTCCTCTTTTAACAACTGGGATCTAGAAGGAAGAGAAAAGACCAGAGAATGGCCAAAATTATTGGGGCAGCTTTTGCTGCCAGTTTAGGGCTTGTGTCAGGAAAAGGAAGTCTTACTCATATACAATGCCACCCAAAGGTAATAAAGGAGGTCAGAATTGCTTCCACTGTGGGAAGCTGGGCCACTTCAGTAGACAGTGTCACAGACGAGAGCCACAGATAAGCCAGGGAGTAGAGAGGAAGCTCCCAATCACTTGCTTTAAGTGTGGCTCTGAAGGACACCTGGCCAAGGTGGCCACATCAGGTCCTCGTGGCAGACAGGACTGACAGGCCCCAGCTCCCAGCTGGAAACAAAGGAGGACGCTTCAATGATTTAGACCCTCCCAGAAGAGCTGTGGGTGAGCATTAACATTACTGGTAAGTATATTCATTTTCTCCTGGACACAGAGCCTACTAATTGGTCCTAAAAGCCTTCTGAGGTCCCAACTCCTCTCACTATTTCTTAGTTGTTGGAATGGACAGAAAACCTCATAAGCAGTTCCACCTCTACCTTGCATTCGAACTTCCGAGTTTTAAAACAACCCAGTGGTAGATGGAATTTCCTCCAGGACTTTGGAACCATAAATGACATAGCTGAGCCTCTACATCTTGTGGTTCCTAACCTCTACACTATAATAGACAAAGTGCTAGTCTATAGTCCTTTTATTGTAAGAACCACCTTCTCTCTGTAACTAGATTTGTGCCATTATTAGAACCTCTACTCAGAATATTATTTCTTTTTAATTTTTGACTCATGTACTTTTAACTTGTTAGTTAAATGTGTATCTTCTAGGCTGCAACACTTCCATGATACATCTTCAAGGATATGAACATGTACGGCTAAGCACCATTGATAACGGTGAATCTAAATTCCAAAATCAATCTCCATAATAGTCTATGTGTTTCCTACTGCCAAAGGGGCCCTTTAGAGTAGTGAGAGAAGATCTTCACTCTGAAACCTACAGCGTCCCTTTCCAGCAGGAAGTAGCTAAGAGAATACACCATCCCCTTTTCCTTATGAATCAGGGTGAAGTCTCTCTCAGGGAGGAGAGATAGGGAATGGCAAAGGACACACTGACAAAGGAGATTAATCAGAACTGGCTTCGATAAGCACTGTGGCAATTAGACAATTAAAACAGACATGGGGGGGGGAAGAAGAAAGAACTGGGGAGGAGGGTAGAGAAAACAGTGCAACAATGAATGAATGAAAACCCAAAATCTCTGTAAATGTTCACTAAAACTAGTAAAATTTAATAATAATTTTTAAGAAAAAAACACAAAAAAACCTCACAGAAATTATTTTCTTAAGTGTCAAGCCTAAATAAAAATAATAGAAAAGGAAAAATAGTTTGGAAGGACAGCTAAGAAATGGTAGTAAATGCCACTACATATTGTCAAGGGAGTTTACTAAGAAAAGGGAAAGCACTAAAAACTAATGAATACTGGTTAAGAGACTGTGGTGGTTTAAAAATGTCACCAAATTCTTTGGCATGCTTATCTTCAAAAGGTAAACTGGATGTTTATGATTAGGTCCATGAATAGACTTCAGTGAAAATGATGCTGGGTCCAGTGTTTTTCCCATGACCAAGGGTCAACTGGACTGTGGTGTTCCATAGGGTTTTCAACAGCTGAGCTTTAGAAGTACAGTGGCAGGATTTTATCCTTGTCCATCTAGGTCTGGAATCTCTTTCAGACCTTGGAAGTTGAATTTCAAGACTAAGCTAAAAAAGGTCAAGATCATTTTCACAGAAGTCTCAACTTTGGAGCCCCTAGTCTTACTTGGATCCACAATCAATCTATTTGGTACCAGTAGTCAGAGGATCAGAAAACATATTGCTGTGGAGAAGTCTGCACTCAGGAACCTTTCCAAATTATTGAGCAGTGATGATGTCAGTTTGAGGAGCAAGGCATTCCTGATTTGGGCTATGGTCTTTTCAGCCACTTGCTATGCATCTGAGAGTTGGACAATGACTAAGGATGACAGAAGTGTAGTGGTTAGAAAGAGTGCTAAAGATTCCATGGAACACTAAAACACAACCAGATATTTTTTGGGAAGCTGCACCCAGAGTGCTTCTTGGAGGCAAAGATGATGAAGCTTCATCTCACATACTTTGAGTATGTTGCTAGAAGTTATTCCTATAAGAAGAACATCATGCTTGGGAAGGTGAAGGGGCAGTAGGAGAGAAGATCCTCTATCAGGTAAGTTGAAATGGTGACTACAGCAATGGACTAGAGTGTGTCTGAGATTGTGAAGATGGCATGGGATAGGACAGTGTTATGATTGGTTGTTCACAGGGTCCCTATAAATTGTACTCGACTCAACAGCACGTTTCAACAACAACAGTAATTATGACAGAAGTTCATTACAATGTGGTCAATATATTGAAATCATGGGCAGAGGCCACACAGAGAGGAGAGAGAGAAGTTGGCTTGTGAAGATACAGGTCTTTCAACCCTAAACTCTTTGAGTCTTTTCACCGTCATCTATGGGCACTGGTGGTTGAACAATAGAATTCTTGCATTCCAGGCAAAAGATCCAGGTTGGACCATTTTCCATGCACCTTGTGCCAACATGTGTCAGTCAGTGGGAATGTTGCTACGACTAGGTTACTAAAATTGAAAAATGGGCTCCTTAGCACCTAACAACTGCAATAACAACATGATGTTGAAAAAATGTCAAGAGAGTTTCCAAACTAAGATGGACTAGGAAGAAAGACCTGGGAATCTATCCCAAAAACTAGCCTTTGAAAATCCTATGGATTTTGCACCTGGAATCTCATCATTGAGATGATACAGGGCTGGGAAGTATTTTGTTCTGTTATGTGTGAGTTTATCACAAGGACAAGTGCACACAACTGCAGCTAACAACAACATAATCATTCATCAACAACCTTAGATCTAGAGATGAAGTCTTTGAGATGATGACAGGCCCAGAGAACTATATCATAAGAGATTCTACGTAGGAAAGATTGAGCAGAGCATAGGGAACAGAAAACATGAGAGACGAGTAATCATTCAGCAAAGAAAGGTATATGTGAATGTCATCTGTATAATGAAGGTTATTAATGACTCTTCCTCTGTTACTAATGCCATATTCTTCTTCTTTTTTTAATTTTATTATTTTTTTTGTGCATGTACCGTCAAATCAGATCTGACTGGTACAGGAGTAAATTGTCCCCCCTCCGGCAGAGCATCAGGTGGATTCAAACCATGTACCTTTGGGATTGCAGTACAGCTTCTTGCCACTAGGCCACCAGAGCTCCCCACACATTCTTCTTCTTAAAGTCCAACCTCTCAAATGATTTACTCAGCATGCAGAATGAATAAGTGTGGAGAAAGCATACAGACATGACACATGTCTGTCTTGAATTTGAGTCATGCAGTGTTCCTTTGCTCTGTTTGAAAAACAGCTTCTTAGTTTAGGTATAGGTTTCACATGAACAAAATGCATTGAAAGGGAAGAGGGGTGTGTGACTATCTTAAATATATGTATAAAGGGAAGAAATGATGAAGCTGAAGAATAAAAAAGGAAGGACTTACTTGGCATTTTCTAAAGCTGAAAGACCTGAAAACCAAATTTAAACCTCAAGTTGGAATACTGAGAGACAAAATCATGAATGATCAAGGAAACAGCAAAAGAAAATGAAGGGAATAAATAGACTTCATGTACCAAAAGCAAATGGTCAACACAGAAGTATTTCAGGAAGTAGCATATGATAAAAAATCCAGTAGTGATAAGGGAAGAAGTCCAAGCTTCGCTGAAGGTATTAGTAAAAGACTAAGGCGCCGGGAATTGATGAGATGCCCACGGATATGTTCAACTAATTGATGCATCCTTTTATGTGATCACCAATCTATGGCAAGAAATTTGGAAGACAGCTACCTGGCTAACTGACTGGAAGAGATCCATATTTGTTCCTATTCCCAGGAAAAGTAATTCAACAAAATGTGGAAATTATCAAAATTACCGTTAATATCACAGGAAAGCATAATATTGCTCAAGATCATCTAAAAACTGCAAGAACAGTACATTCACAGAGAACTCAGAAGTTCAAGCTGGGTTTAGAAGTGACTGTGGCACCAGCGATATCATTGCTGACATCAGACGGATCTTGACAGAAAGCAGACAATACCAAAAGAATCTTTATTTGTGTTTTATTGACTATACAAAGGCATTATGTGGATCATAACAACCTATGTCTAACACTAAGAAGAATAAGAATTTCTAAACACTTAATTATGCTTAATGAAATCTATCCTAAATCGGGAAGCTGTTGTCTGCAGAGCAAGCGAACACTGTTATGGTTTAAAATCAGGAAAGGAGTGTGTATCATATTTTTCTCAATATCTATTCAATCTGTATGCTGAACAAATCCTTCAAGAAGCTGGACTTTCTGAAGAAGAATGTGGCATCAGGATAGGAGGAAGATTCATCAACAATCTACAATTATGTAGGTAACATAACCTTGCTTAGTGAAAGCAACAAAAACTTGAGGTGCTTGCTGCAGAAGATCAAGGACTACAGTCTTCAGTATGAATTACATCTTAACATCAAGA